AACCATGATGCTTCTCTAAATCAATGGTATGATCCAAAAAAAAAAAACAGGACAAATAATAATTCGTAAATAATAAAATGTTTTTTAGCATTTTTTTTTAATAAAGCTCACAACTGAGAATGCAATGCGAGCTTTTGCTTTTTTATGCGTTACACGATCCTTTTGTGTGCTACATGAGAAAATTCATTTATTTTATTTTGACATCACGTTGACATCAAAGTTAGGTTGGGTTTGGATTGCATCTTCTCCATCGTAAGGAGCAAAAAATGACATCACTTAGGCCAAGACAATAGTCTGTTTTATTAAATTCGAAATATATAAATAAGTCAGGTGTCCCCACATTTTTTTTTTCGTATAAAAATTCCTCAAAGGCCACCTTATACATTCAGCCATGACGTCACTGTTCATTTTCAAGCAATCAAAGCAAATTCAAGTTAATTTACGAATGCGTACGTTACGTTTAAATCATGAAATCATTTATCGTTATACAACGTTATACAAATAGTCTAATTCATAAAAAAAATAAAATATCGTCTTTATCATCAATTGAGATACTCATTTCACGTTAGAAAATATACAAAAATAAATTAATGCTGCACGTATGTTTTTTTTTACATTTCACCTTCCATGCTTCCCATTCCAAAAAAAAATAGTTTGGTAAGATCCATGAATGAAAGATTTTCTGAATCAGCAATTATTATATAGCAATAATTAACTAATAATAAAAAATTTCCATTTGAAAAACATTTAATTTTAAATTGGCAGAAAATTAAAATTAATTTTTAATTCTTGAATTTTATTGGCTGGAAGCTTCCAACGCACATAAACTATTAGAAGGCCTGTGACCCCAATTCCAATGCACATCATCACTGCGAAACAAAATGAAGTCATAACTTTGTATATAGAAAAAGAAGGCCTTAGCTTAGAAAACTACGATTGTTTTGGAGTACTAAAGAATCCATAAAGTTGCGGGTAGTGATGGGAATTTTTAACCTGCATTTAATAACTCCAAGTTATTATTAATAGTTAATAACCACTTATTAACTGTTGCATCCAAAAGATCCATTTTGCCAATGTATATGGTTCAGTGTGCGGAATTTTATACTTGTTTCAAATAATTTTTGCTACCAATGAAAGATCTGCAAGTTGTGTTTTTAACAAAAAATTTTACGCCCATCCACTAGTTCCAGGACTAGTCCATAAAATTTAGCAATGATCTACATTACACCAAGTGTAAAGAATAATAAAAAGCACGTTCATGCAATGTATTTCCTTTTTAAACTATTCAAATTGAATCTTTTTTTTACTATAACTATATATGTGTAAATTAAATAAGTTTGTCCTGCTAATTAATTAATTTGGAATCACTTCTCTGCCATCCAATACTACTTCTACTACTATTGCTGCTAAAATAAAAAAAAGAGATAATAATAATACAATAATGGTTGAAGAAACAAAAAAAGCTGAAGAGACAAAAAAATCATCACCAACCTCTACAAAAAAATCAGTATTGGATAAAGTACCATGGTTAGCAAATCAAAATAATAACTCTACTACATCAAACAATAACAATGATTATAAAAAGACAACTCCACCACCACGTAAATTGCAATCACCTTTTCTTAAATCAAGTGTTACTTCATCATCATCATCGTCGTCGTCGTCGTCGTCGTCATCTACAACCTCACCGAGTAAGTTGCAATCACCTTTTCTTAAATCAAATGTTCCTTTTTCACCTTCATCAACTACTTCATCAACTACTTCACCTACAACTTCACCCACAACTTCATCTACAACTTCGCCATCTTCATCTTCATCATCGTCGTCATCACCGTCATCATCTAATTCCTCCAATTCCGGTACACCTTCTAAATTAAATAAAAATAATATTTCACAAAAATTAGAAGGATTATTTAATGGTGGTGGTGGTGGTGGCGCAGGTGGAATAGCTTTGCCTGGTATGGAGAGAGGTGGTGGTGGATTTGTATTTGGAGGAAGAAAAATTGTTAAAAGTGGAGATGATTATAATAATAATAATTGTAATACAAAAGAAAATAATAGTGATAATAATAGACGTGTTAAAGTTATGATGGATGTTAAAGATGATAATAATGATAACAGTGAAAAAGTTGACGATGAGAAAAAAAATGATAAAGAAAATGATTCGCCAAAAATAAAAGCCTTAGAACATGTAAGTAAAATGATTGTTTTTTGGTGAGGATAGTTAAAGAGATCTTATCAATAATTTCTTTATTTTAGGTAACAAAAGATAGACCGAAAAGACCTGGCAAAGCAAGACAACAAATTAAACCAATTACAACTGCAACAACTACTGCTACTATAAAAGATGAATCTATAAAGAAGAACGAGGATGATAATAAAGAAATTGAAATCGAGAATGAAAAATCCGTAAAGAAGGAAGAGGATAATAGCGATAATTCTAAAGATAAAGAAAATGATGATTATGCGAAGGTGGAAGATGATTCTAATGATCATAATACGAAAGAAATTGAAGGTAAAGATGAGGATGAAGAAGATCATGCAAAGATGGAGAATGATTATACAGCAAATGACGTTGAAAACAAAAAAGAAGAATCTGCAAAGGAGCAGAGTTATGAGAATAAATCAAAGGGGATTAAAGATTATTCCAAAGAAATTGCCAATATTACTACTAGTAGTACAGAATCAATTGATAAATTGAAATCTGAAGATGATGATTTAAAAGTTACTGAAGATAACAAAGGGAATACTAAAGAGAACACTGTATAAGTAACTAGCCGCAGTTAATTGTTAGATAGAAAGAAATAAGATATGAAACTATTTATTTTGTTTTATTATTTTTTTACAAAATGTATAAACTACTTTATATGTATGTATACTTTGGGTGTTTTATTATTATATTATCGTTATTTTACAAAAGAAAATAGAAATTCTTTTTTTTTGAATTTCCATTAAATTATTTATTATGAATAAAAAAATATTTACAAAAATAAAAATTAAAGAATAAATAAATAAATAAAAATATGAAAATTATGTGAAATGTGAAATTGTGAATGTTTTGAAAAAAATGTCTATGAAAATAAATTTTATATTACAAAATACATAATAAAATTATAATTGTAATAATAATAATGTTATGAATGTCTATAAAAATGTTCAAAAATGTGTAAATAAAACGAATTAATGAAAAGTGTAGTGAATATGTATAATAAATGTGAAAAGGAAATTAGAATTAAATGTTCTTTATAAATAATATATAAATATTAATCAATAATATTATATAATATATGTTATATGGTGTTTCTGTGTCTTCTTATTCTAACCATAATTTTCAAACATTTTCTAGATACTTGTAAAGTTACAGCAGGAGTAATATTTGTATGTGATGTACGTGGTTGTTGACGAAATGTTGGTCTTTCACGATCCAATCTGATATTTTTATCATCGCCAACATTAATAATTTTATTACCTGTAATACTAACATCATCTTGATGATTTCTATTCTTTGATGATCTTCTACTCGATGTGTAATTATGATATTCATCTGGATCAGTTGATGCTTTTTCAAGAATATTTGATTTTTGATTAAAAAATCTGTAAATAGCTGATGAACTTATAAATTTCATCTAATTTGAGAGGGAGGAGAAGGAAGGAATAAAACTTGTTAATTATTTGTCTATTAATTATCCAAGTAGTAATACTAATAATAAAAAAATAAAAATAAAATACATACTGTTTGAGTACGTTTAGGTCTTGAATTAGCAAGGGTTGAATAACGTTTACTTGGATAATTTTTAGCAAGGTCGTCGTCTCCCGTATTATTTTTATTATTTGGTGGTGATGGTTTTCTATTTGGGTTGAGTGAGGAAGAAATCGCTGGACGATATCTATTTTTTAAATCCAATGATTGCTTTTCTAATAACGATTTAGAAAGATTAATTAGAAACGATTTGTTATCATTATTAATATTATGAGACGAAAAAAAAAAATTTTTGATAATTACCACATCTTTTTAATAAAACTTGTCCAATGAGTGAAATTGGGGGAGGAATATTTAAGGTTGCAGATGTTTTTTCGAGCAGTTTTTCTGAAGGAATAAGAGCTTTCTTTTCATCATCGTTTGAAGAATTTGTTTTTTCTTCATTTTTAAATGCCTTCTTTTCGTCAAAGTCATTTACTTCTTCTACATTGCCACCATCGCCACCATTACCAACAGCACCACTAATATTATAATGTTCAATACGATGAAGGTATTTTTTGAGATCGTTTGGTGGAAGATAATTCAAACTTAAAGAAATCAGTCCGTGACACAACAATATGCACCATTTACATAAATCCCTACTTTTTTCAGTTACTAAAATCATTGTGTTGAAATTTTTATGGAAAAGTTTTGAAATACAAAAAGTTTATAGAAAAATGAAATAAATAATTATAATGTAAATATATAAAACGTAAATGAAATATTATTGATTTTTTTGCAAGTTATTTTGTTAATGAAAATTATGCTTTTTAATTGTTTTAAATAAATCTTCTGCGAGAATTATTAAAGAAAAATTTTCTGAGTTATGGTTATGAATTAATGGTTTATATCTGTTTTTTAAAAAAAAATGTGAAAATTATAAATGGAAATAAGTCGGTCAGAATGGTTTAGTTTCAGAATCTAAAAAAGAATTTTTCCTGCACATATGAATACAATATAATTAATACACAATGATAATTGACAGGTTTTATGCGAACTGCGAACTGAAAATTATTGAAAATTATGGTTAATTTAGAAATAATTAGTAGAGACGGTTTATATAATGTTTGGTAAACTTGCAACATAATTATATAATAATAGACTTTATTGTTATATCAAGTTTTACAATTCACGAAAAAAATTTTTTTTAATCAGCTGCTATAAAATCCAAAAATACTTGTGATTTCTGCAATAATGCATACATTTATATAACATTATGTAGAAAAAAAATTCTAAGAAAGCATCATTATTATTAATATGTAAAAATTACGCCATAGCACTTTTGAAATATTAAAAAAAAATTTTAATTTTCTAATTTCTCTAATCTTTAATATTTTTTACAATGATGAATTAATGACTATCGAATGTTTGTACATTTAATGTCCAATAAATTTTATTCAAAAAGCATTCATTGTTTTTGTTTTCAATAATTAATTAGAGATTAGTCATGAAATTTTTTTTCTAGAACCTCTAGAAGTAATTAATTATGTGATGTGAGTGTATGTATGTATGCATGATATGACTGATAATTATATACAATAGACGGTATGTTGTAATGCAAAGAATTGTCATAGCGTTTTAAGCCAATGATTACAATTATAGACGTGAAGTGAAATTGTGAGGAAGAGGGGAAGATGGGGATGGAGATTAAAAGGAAGTAGCATTAATGCTATATTACTCATAATAACAATTTTATTATATTATGACATTAGGGGAAATGCTTGTATCAGGGAGTTCTTGAAAGAAAATAATTTCAAGTTGAAAATGTTACTATAACCGGATATTTATGGGATTAGCAAATGAAAATTAGGTAAAAAAATTTTTTTCAATAAGTTTCTTTTTTTATTTTTTTTTTCATAATGAAATAATGAAGTAAAATTTGGCATTATTAAAAAAAAT